ATTACAATTGGTGTGTTCGTAAGCGATTATTGCAATACATAGCGTAACACTTTACTAAAGCAATGCAGTGAAGGGAGAGAAAAAGACGGATAAGCTTGGACAAAAAGATGGTGTTTTAACTTTTACAAAATTGAATAACTGACAACGCAGGATCAATAAGGTCTCTAGGCAAACCATTCCAGACAGCAGGATCCATTATGGAAAAATTCCTTCGATCAAAAGCCAAGTTTGTGTCAAGTACAAACAGTAAACCTGAATTGTCAAAGCGCAAGTTTAACTCAGCAGTGGCATTGTTCTAGGAATGACTCTGTTAATCAATCAATCAATCAATCAATTAGCTTATAAAGCGCTATTTCCGCGATGTTCAACAGCGCTCCTCAATGAATTTTGAAAACAGATGGGTCTTGAGATCCGCTCTGAACTTCGCAAGTGATGGAGAAGTAGTCAAAGAAGTAGGTAGAGAGTTCCAGAGAAAAGGACCAGAAAAAGCAAAAGCAGATTTGGCAAAAGAGTGTTTAACACGAGTTAAGAAAAAGCGAGAAGAAGAAGACGATCGTAAACCGGAGCGTTTAGGTTCAATTAATATATCTGATAAATACTTAGGAAATAATTTAGATTGAGACTTATACATGAACGTGCAAATTTTAAAAATTATTCAATATTTTATAGGTAGCCAGTGCAAGAGAACAAGATATGGAGATATATGAGAAAAGAAAGGGGCACGAGCAACTAGACGAGCAGCAGAGTTAAAAGCTTTACTTAAAGGATAGAGTATTGCGTCAGGAAGACCATAGTAGAGCGAGTTACAATAATCAATCCTAGATAAGATTAACGAAGTAACAAGAAGGAGAAGAGTAGGATCATCAAGAAAAGGCAAAAGTTTTTTTATTCTACGTAGATGAAAGTAAGATCTTCTAGCAACACTATTAATCTGAGAAGAGAGAGACATAGTAGAATCAAAGATAAAACCTAGACTACGAAACTTATGAGAAACATCAAGAGTTTTTGAATCAGGTAAGATAATAGGAGAAATAGTAATAGAGTGTTTAGATTTATTAAAACAAATTAATTCAAACTTAGAAGAATTAAGTTTAAGACACATAGAGTCAGACCAAGCGATAATTAAAGAAAGACATAGAGATAAATTATGAAGAACACTATTGAGATTAGATGGAGGAAAAGAAGTATAAATGTAAGAATCATCAGCATATAGTTGACTAGAGAAAGAAAAGTTATTAA